CACAGGGAATCCAGGACAGATAAACCCCTCAGGACCAATATTGAGAGTAGCCATACCAGGAGGGCAAGGGGAAGGTGGGGAGAGAGGGGGGGAACCAATCACAATGACCTACCTATAACCCCCTCCCAAGGGATGGACAACAGAAAAGTGGGTGAATGGAGACATCAGTCAGTGTAAGACATGAAAAAATAATAATTTATAAATTATCAAGGGTTCATGAGGGAGGGGAAAAAATGAAAAGCTGATACCAAGGGCTCAAGTACAAAGAAAATGCTTTGAAACTGATGATAGCCACAAATGAACAAATGTGCTCGACACAATGGATGCATGTATGGATTATGAGAACAGTTGTACAAGCCCCCAATAAAATGATTAAAAAAAAAACACGAATGGAATTTTTCAATGAACTTTTTGAAGACTCCTCCTATTAGCCTAGCAATATAGTTTAACTGGAAATTTATTTAATCACTAGTTTGCTTACTTAGTTTATATATGTACAACACAAAGGTTGGAAAATTTCTAGAAAACACAAAATCCTGGAGAAATGCTATTCCCTTAGGCTTGCTCAAAGTTAAAAATCCACTTAAATATTGCTCAAATAATAAAGGGACCACATTGTGAGAGAAAAATTTAAGCAGTCTTGTTGCTTTTGTAACTAAAACTATACAAATATCCATTTTTTAAATATCCATTTTTATAACAAGGAAAACATATCCTCAAAATGTAGTAAGAGAAAGCAGGCCCCTTTCTCTTCAGATCCCCTCACTTTCAACAACTGAAAAAGATGTTTTAAAAGCCATATCAGGTAACACGAGGGTCTTAAAATAATGCTTATTTTCATGAATGAGTTGTGAAGGTCACACTTACTATGACACGTTGGGCATCTCTTCCCTTTGTAGGAAAATCGACTTAGTGTCATATCAAAGTCTGTTATTATCTGTGAGAAAAGGGAGAAAGGCATTCCATAAACATAGGCAACCGGGCAGAGATACTGAGTGCTACTCAGTGCAGACAGCATGCTTTGGAGAAGTATACTGAACTGTGCTTTGTGCTGGGCTCCTATTGGGTAGGTCATTTTCTCTATATTTGGGTTTTTTAATATAGCTTATATATAAAATTCTGGGAATGACCTTCACTAGAAGGCGATGCTCAAGTGTCCTACTCACCAGATATAGTCTGAGTAATCAGTAAGGAACTTCCAATTATAGGTGGATAATGCCGCTGGTCTCTTTAGAGATAAAATATTCCACAATCCTAACCCACTTTGATACATATACAAAAACACAGAAGAAGCAATTGAACTTTATATGTTTGAATTATAAAGCAATTAAACCATATGCAGTTACTGACACTATAACAATATGGATTTAACTTGATTA